AGAAGTTGGTCTGGGTTTTTCTGTTACAAAATTAGCAGTGGGTATTCCTTGTAAGAAAGGATGATGTGGCAATAATTCTATACTTGGACCACTGTGAGGGGCCTGGGTTCTTCGTGATGGGAAGTGGAGATAGACTCTGGAACTGTGTTATTGAATCAGGTTGTTGGTAAACAAAAGCAAGTCTTCTGTCTTCCAGTCACACTCTAATATCTTGGAGCCTGATTCGGAAAAGGTGCAGGCAGCCTCCCTCTTAGAAGAGGACAGTGGTTATGTCTACACTACAGACCTTACAGTGGCACAGCTGTACCGCTGCAGCTGCACTGCTGTAAAGTCTGCTCTATGCCAGCTGGAGAGAGCTCTCCCACCGGCATAAATAAACCTCCCCCAACGAGTGGCAGTAGCTCTGCTCTTCCACCGACATAGCGCTGTCTACACCGGCGCTTTTGGTGGTGAAACTTATGTCAGTCAGGGATGTGTTTTTTTTCAGACCCCCTGACCAACAAGAAATTTTTGTCAACAAAAATGCTAGTGTAGACAGAGCCTTAGTTATGGTGATTTTGATAACTGCAGAAGAAGGAATTATGCAAATCTCAATATCTAGATGATCTGTTGCCTTGCTCCCAGTCCAAACAGACAGCTCACTGGGATTCGCAACAGGTAATAAATCCTATAGACTCAGGGGTTTATGATCAGCTTCAGCAAGCGTTCCCTGACCTTTTCACAGAACGTGGTACGCCTTAGGACTCTGAAAATGGTCGAGATCTAGGTATGGTGTAGAACTTACCTTGATGCCCCACCTTAATCTGGTGGTGATCCTTCAACTCCCGGACTCAGACACTGTTAATTGGCAGCGCAACACGAGACCTAAGCATGTCCACTATCTGTAAGGGATCGCCAACAGGAGTCCTTGCACAGTCAGATCACTATCTTCCCAGCAGGTTCTTCCATCTCCAATAGAGGGGGACTGCTCCAGAACCCTTTCCAGAGGAGAACCATTAATAGAAATATTAGAGGTGAGAAAAATCATGGGTGTTTTTCTGACAGGCTGTGAAATACACATATGGACGGACCCATGCTTGTCTGGGGGCAATGGCCAGCCCGAGAGAGGAGGATAAATATAAATTGGCTGGATGGAGTTGAGGGTTATTGGGAATGCCTTGAGACATCTGGTTCCCATCTCGTGTTCTCATTCTGTCCTGATTCAAAGCGCCAAACACACAGCAGCAGCTTTTGCAAATTGATGAGAGAGACACTGAGCACTCCTGAGAACAGAGGCTGTGTGCAGCTGATATCGGGCTGACATTACGTCTAGTTCTAGCCACTTACATAAAAGTAAAACTCAAACCATTTGGTTGAGTCAACAACCCCTGTTCCCAGAGAGAATGTGAATTAAATGACGGGGTCCTTCAGATCATCTTTTGGAAATGGGGACCTTCATGGATCGATTCGTTTTCTCTGAGCAGCAACAAAAATGGAGAGCAAGGAAAATCAATGCATTCTCATTCCAGTGGTCCAATTGTCTGATGTGTGCCTTTCCTTCTTTTCCAATTCTGGCTCAGATAGCCAGAAAAATCAGAACAGAGAAAGCCATACTTCTCCTGATAGCTCCTTCTTGGCCCCATGGGCCCTTGTTCTCCAGGAACCTGGAAATGTCAGTTTGGTTCCCCCGAGATTCTGCCCTCATTAGATGATCTTCTGACTCAAAGTTGAATCAGATCTGACATCTTGAACTTGAGAGGGTAGAATTTGGATGCTGTTAGTTTGTGGCTTTATTCCTTCAAACCTGGAAGGAAGTTGTCTGAGATTTTATATAGTTAGCATATTTCCAGGAAATGGGGTCCAGGCATGACATCTGTTCTAAAAGTTTGTCAAATATTGCCTCGCTTTCTTATTTGATGACTTCATTAAAGATCTAAATCTTTAAGCACTCTGTGTGATCAAATAGAAGTTTTAGGAGCGCTCAGTCTATAAAGAGAATCTGATATCCTGTCTGCAGGTTTTCAAGGCAGTAACCAAACATTGCCCCTTTTAAAGTTCCCAGTTGCAAGTTGGAAATTGAATTTGGCCCTGAAATGTGTCATGGAACAACCATTTGAACCAATGGCTGCTCTTATTTAAGATAGAAGGCTGTATGTGTTGATTGTTTTGTCTAACAAAAAACAATTTCTGCACTTTTTACCCCACAAAGTGGGTACTTCAGCTGGCACAGGAATTCTTCCTTAAAATAATCCCTCCTTATTATGTCAGTAGAAATATTTCCTTCTATTCAAGGAGGTCACATTGTATTTACTTGATTGGGAGGTGAGCTGTCCACTGTTAGTTGGGCAGAACAAAGACATTCAGAAAGGCATGTGCTCTCTTTT